GCTTGAACCCTCTTGAGCCTTACCCTTTTCTTGGAAGAAACTTGAACAATTGTGATCCCTCTTTATCCATTCACCCATAACTCTCATGAAGTGTGGTTTGTTTGAATAGCCAACTTAGGCCAAAAGCCTAAGTTAGGGGTGTGGTGAAAAGAGAAAGTAATTCAAAAAGTGTTACAAATTCCCCTTAGGACAATGGTTTTGAAAAAGATGGAACCCCTCCATATAAAATAAAAAAAAATAAAAAAAAAAAAAAAAAGAATGAAAAAGTTGCAAAATAGGTGATGAAGATTGCAAAAGAAATGTGGTATCTGCTAATCCATGTGAAAGTGAATAATGGGGTGAATTATGAGCATGATCAAAATGTCAAAGAAAAGGAAGAAAGTGGTGTTTGGACCACACTTCATGAGGGTAGTAGCCACTGAACCTAAATGATCATACCTTTACACTCAGTCCCGTTACAAGCCTTGAAAAGACCTTTGTGATCTTAAGTGAGATGAAACAAGGGTTGATTGGGAAAAAAGGGCAAACATATAGGTGAAGTCATGCGTGTGTTCATCTTTGTGAGTGTGAGAGTCATATGTTATTCCTGAACTATAAGTTGTGAGAAATTGTGTGTGAACATAGAATCATCTTTGTTGTGAGGGCATTTGAGTACCTTTGTTGAGCATGAACTTGCATTTGAAGCAAATATTTTGAGCTTAGCTTTGATAATGGTGAGTCACAATTTGAATCTTTAAGTGCACAATTTATCATTGCACGAGTAGTTGAGTCGTGTTGTGTGCATTCATGTTGAGTCTTTTGTAGCACTGTTTGAGACATCGTTATTGAAATGTTGAACTTGAGTTTTACTTGAGGACAAGCAAAAGTTTAAGTTGGGGGTGTTGATGAGTCTGAGATTCGGACTCATTTAAGGCTTCATTAATATAGATTCAATGTCCTCAAATGCTTGATTTTTGCCATAAACTAATTTTAAATCCTTCATTGTCAGGTAAATAGATTGAGGAACAAAGCAAGAACACTAACAAACAAAAAGGAACAACACAAGTTGAAAAGGGATGAAAAGAACGCTTGATGGTCCCCAAAAGAACTCGGCAAATCGTCGAGTGTCTCCTAGACGGCCTAAACTTACAGAACACTGAGCCTGAAAGAAGAAAAACTAAGGCAAACAGCATTTCCTATCAGTGAATCGCCGATTGCATCGGCGAAGAGAGATTATGTCACCGAACGAACTAAGTGAGACCAAAATGAAATTGAATTGGCGAGCTAAAGGACTAAAGGGAGCATCGAGGAAA